ACACAAAAATATGTAAAATTCCTGGTGAGCCTTTTTGACCAGAGAGGAGATGTGGTGTCTGGGACAGGTCATCAGTCATGTCAACCCCCCAGGACCCTGATGTTATCTACAACTGGTGCAGACTGGGCTGTGTATGCGCTACATTAACAATAGTAAACGGACAAAGATACTGTCCTTGACCTCTGACACATTGAGGAAAACATTAAAGCTTTTACTTCCGGACTATTTTCAGTTAAGGTCAGTATCGCACCATCTTACTGCAGACAGTGAGGCATTGCTTCCCACAACTGAGGAGCCTGATTGTCTGAATTATTTTGAAGCAAAACCACTGTCCTGTGAAGAGCAAGGTTTTAGCCTCTGCAACTGTCTGAGTTGTTCACTTACGATCAATGACTCTTCAAGGCTTTAAGGATCTCTCCCTTGACAAACAACCTTGGGGCCGTAGTGCGTCTTTGATAACTGATTACCGAGCATGCTCTGTGTATTCACATTTCCACTCTGCTGTCCTTTTGTCCCCACTGCAGGCCCACGGACACGGAAACTGAAAAAATCGAAAAGTAGCAAAGAGGACAAGCGACCGCGCACGGCTTTCACGGCTGAACAGCTGCAGAGACTCAAGACAGAGTTCCAGGTGAACCGGTACATCACAGAGCAGCGGCGGCAGGTACTGGCCCAGGAGCTCAACCTCAACGAGTCCCAGATCAAAATATGGTTTCAGAACAAGCGGGCCAAGATCAAGAAGGCCAGTGGCTTTAAGAATGGCTTGGCACTGCAGTTAATGGCACAGGGACTGTACAACCATTCCACCACCACCATTCAGGAGGACAAGGAGGACAGTGAGTGAGAACTGAACCAAACAGGAAGGGGTCCAGTCCCCAAATTGATCATCCAGCAGGACAAGGAGAACAGCAAGTTAAGAACCAAACTGTCAGGGGCCCAGGGACTTATCTACCACCATTATCCAGGAGGACAAGGAGAACAGCAAGCAAGGAACTAAACCACACAGGCAGGTGCTCAGTCCCGACTCCACCATCAAAGAGGACAGTGAGTGAGGAGCCAAACCACAGAGGTCCACTCTACCACTACCATCCAGGAGGACAAGGAGTGACCAGTTTAACTTGCAGGAGCCCATCTGAACAGGCAGAAAACCATGCAGCTTTATTCATCTAGGAGGACAGGATCTCTGAGCTCCTGCTGACACTCAAACTGGTACCTGCTTACAGAGCAAACCAAAGATTTCTAATGGAAACAGGACCTGCTGATTTGAAACAATCCAACAGAATTCAGAGCATCCAGGAGCCGCTCACCCTGCTGCAGACACCTGCTTACCTCACCATGTTCTGCTTCAGGTTCTGACACACAATGAGACTTGAGCCAAAGATAGTGAGAGCAGCCAGAACCTTCAGTGGTCAACCCTCTGTTGACTCTGACATAAATACACCTGAAGGATCTGGTCTCAGTCAGTTTCAAATCCACTGAGTGGTACCAACTGAACTGTACCCACCAACTGAGTAATACTGATCCACCGAATGGCACTGACCTTCTGCAGTGTTCAGGAGTGGAAAATGGACTTTATACGTGCAACTGTGCAGATTTTGGAGTCATTTTTAGGTTCATTAACGTTCCCTCTGCTGAAACCACATTGTTGGAAAATCTAAATGAAACGATTTGTCTTCCAGGAGCCGAAGAAAGTTCTCTGAATGAGATCTACATAAAAATAATCTGGTCTGTAACAAATGCAACTACGAACAGCTGTCAATAAAACCAGATGTTAATGAGAAATAATTGCAGTTTGGTTTTGAACAGCTCCATTTTTATTTTAATGATTATTTTGGACTGGACCAAGGTCTCTGATTGTCCTGAGACTCTCAGGAAAAAATAAATCAAATTTTACTCTTTAGATTTAAAAACAAATCTTATTTATTTGGTTTTAAATGCTCTTGGATTTGATACAAGGGAGGCAATAAATAATAGAGCCTGATACTTACCATTATGTACCCGGCGTGCGCCTCATACTTACCTGGTATGTACTTCTTATGCACCAGGTAAGCACTCGGTACATGAAGGATATGTACCTGGGAAGTACCAGGCTGTGTTACGTACATACCTATGAGTAATAAGTATGTACCAAGTAAGAACCGGGCTGTGATATATATTGCTATTGAATTTTGTTAAATTTGATTATAAATCAGTACTACTGAATCATTAAATCTGTTTGTGAAGAAAATCCTGTGTTTGTGAGTTTGGATCAGTAGGATGGTTCTGATGGAGGAGACATGGAGCTGCACACATTCAGAACTCTGGGACGTCTTCAGTTTTTCAGCAGTAGAGTTCTGCAGGTCTTTCTGATAATGCAGGGCTGGAATGGGTCCAATTCATGTTCATTCAAATTGTGTTTCCAAATAAATTGTTTTTACCTGAACTGGTAGTGACTAATTATTCAACAGAGGATCTCACAAAACATTCAGCTCCAACAGTCAGGTTGGACGGGTGTGTTTGTGTTTACTTCTTTAAAATGAGGAGGATTTGCCTCAGAAGTCCAAAACCCCCTTTAGAAATTCATGAAACCCAAAGAAACACTTGGAAATCCTCAAAACCCCAGAGAATCCCTTAAAGCACAAAACAATTTGAGTTGTTCAGCTGTTCAACCAGAGATCTAACCAAACTTACCTTCAGAGTCCCTCCATGCCTCAAAGACTAAAAGCTCTATTTTACTCACCAAAAAAGGGCGGGGCATTGTATTATTGCCCCAAAAAGGGAGGAGCTTTGCATAGAGGTGTTGTTGGTGTGGGTCAGTCAGTAGTATTTGTCAACAGGCACAGTTTTGTCAGGGTTAGGTCACACAATCTGCTGGCTACCCTACCCTACCTTAGATAAATAATTTTACCAATTTAATTTTTATGTATATGAATGTATTTGTTCAGTGCCCTGAGATAACTTCTGTTGTGACTTGGTGCTATATAACTAAACTGAATGAATTGAACTGAATCACATCATTGGTCTGTTTGAGACAAAGTAGGCTTGATGGAAGATGATTGAGGAGGACACCAAATCATTAAAAAGCTAAACTTGAATTTGTCAAAATGCACATTGAAAAGTCACAAAGGTTCTGGGAAAATGTTCTTTGGACAGTTGAGACATAACTGGAGTTTTTTTGGGCAACAAGTCCCATCAGTTTTATATACACAGACTCAAAAAATAGACAAAGAAAAGGACACGGTACCTTCACCACAGCTTTATAACTTGGATCCCACACTCCTTGTTTCTTTGACTTGATAAAGCTTCTCGGATGAGAAGTGAAATGCCTTCAGTTACAAATAAAGTCCAGTTGTTTTGTTTTTAACATTTCTTTGATTCACGGTACCTTCAGTAGTAGCACCAACATGGAGGAGGCTCAGTTCTGTTCTGGAGCTACTGCATCTGGCACAGAGTGTCTTGAATCTGTGCAGGGTACACTGAAATCTCAAGACGTTCAAGACATGGAGGCTTTGCCTGATGGTTAGGGTAAGACACTGTGGCTCCACTGCCTACCTATCAGTGTATGACTGAAACTATGAAAGTGCTATTTATAGTGGTAGATGTGAAATCACTGAGTGTACAAGAATGGGTTCATGAGAAACTGTGAAGGGTTTTGCAGAACCTAGAGAGGTCAAATACCCATTGTATATGGTGGACCTTTAACCATCAAGGCATTTTGGAGCAAAAAGTGCTGCCAAATATCAGAAAGTTTGGTCTCATCAACAGGATCATGACCCACAACACACAACTGTGACTGAAATATACCGGTATGTTTATTTGGTTTTCCTCAGCTTTGCTCACTACAGTTTATTGATATCCACTGAGATGTGTACACATAGTTAACATACATGATAATCCATCCATCCATCCATCCATCCATCCATCCATCCATCCATCCATCCATCCATCCATCCATCCATCCATCCATCCATCATCTTACGCTTGATCTGAAGGTCGCAGGGGCAAAATCTTGAACATCTCTCTCCACAGCCTCTTCCAGTTCTTCTGGGAGGACTCCAAGGTGTTCCCAGACCAACTGAGAGACGTAGTCTCTCCAGCGTGTCTTCCCCGGGGTCTCCTCCCAGTTGGACATGCCCAAAGCACCTCCATAGGGAGGCGCCCAGGGAGCATCCTTACCAGATGAACCACCTCAACTGGCTCCTCTGGATGTGGAGGAGCAGTGGTTCTACTCTGAGTCTCTCCTGATAACTGAACTTCTCCCCCTGTCCGACCAGTAAACAGAGAGCTTTGTCTCACATCTACACATACATGATAAAAAAATGCATTTCTTTACAAACAATTCTGTCCTTGTCTGTAGACAATAGTTAACATTAAAAGTGATATAAAGAACCATGTGGAGGACATTCTGCTTCAGTTTCATGTTCTAATTTTTTTTCATCCAAATCGTGATGGTTGCTGACAGAACTAACCCATGAAATCTCCATCTTTACCTTCTGATTATTTGCTGCTGAAGCTGAACTCTAGGAACCTCTTCACACGCACCTTTCAGGTTGGGTGGCCTTTAAATCAAGGACTCCCATATGGAAGTCATTACACAGTTGTAAGAAACAGATTTGCTTGCTGCGCTCCTGTTTGTGTGACGGTGAAACAGAGTGAGGGAGAGGTCAGTCACATTATTTTGTGCCTGTGTGTAAACACACAAAACGTGTGGAGAATCGATGAGAAGTGCAACCTGCCTCTGGCATCATGTCAGCGTTAGCAGAAGGTGTGCACACTTCAGGAATGGATGTATGGACTCCATAGGGGTCAGAATGAGTTTCGGTGTGGTCTCGTTCCAGTAAAGAATGTCGGAGTTCTGCAAAGTACTTGGAAATACCTCTCCTCAACAATAATCTCTCACTGGGAGAGTAATTCCTATCAAAATAAAAGCAGCTAAAGTTCTCCAAATGTCCCTGTAGATCACCTTCAGAAAAAGTTTTTCTGGATCCGAGATATCTCATCCGAGAGACTTCCTCAGTCTGAGGTGCTGTATTCAGCTCAGTCTCTTAAATAGCACCTTCTCAGAGTGGATCAACCAGTTTGCTGCTGACAACCAGAACCAGCTGCTCACATGCTCAAGAAGGACCATCAGCCTAACAATGGATCATTAGCTGAATGAGTTTAATTTAAATGTGGTAAACTCAAGTCCGCTGATTTATTTTAAAGACAGTTCTCCACACTAGAACATGCAGGAGAGTAAATCACGTAAATCTGTTTAGAGGTTTAGCGCTAGCAAAGATAACTTTTTAGTTAGCTGGCTACATCTAGACGTAAGAAAGGTCACAATAAAAAATTGTGTTGCCACTTCTTGTATTCTGCTGAGGCTTTATAATAAAACTCTACTTCAAAAAGTAAAAGTTCCTCAAATGATTGGGGGGCTGAAGATTAATCAATGGGAGAAAAGGGCACCATTGACCACCCCCTGGCTCCACCTCTGCACCTGGTGGTGATAAAACGTCTCCCTCCTCTCTCCAGGACCCGTCACGCTGCGCTGCCTTGGACAAGAGAATAAAACCTCCCTCTGTCCTTCTGCACAGTGGAACTTGAATAACTTGCTCCAAAAACATTTAGGTTTACTAGTTCAAGTCCTGTTCAGAAAAACACTCATCTCCACTTCAACATTCACTATTTGATCCCTCTAAGGTATTGTTGTGTCACTTGTTGAATTAATTTGTAGAGAATAAAACTCAGTGTAACTTTGTGTACATTAAACTTGTTTAGTATTTTCCAGCTTCAACAAGTCGCACATTTTACTTAACCTGTGCTACTGCTAATCCTGACCTTTGACCCTGTTCCCTAGGCTCTGTAACGCTTTAAACTGTAAATATGAGTTCATGGTCTGGATTAGCTGGATTTATTAATAACTATTTCCTGTATGGTTTATTGTCTTCCTTCGTGACAAACGTCAAAATACAAAGAAAAATTCAGTGAAAAACATGTTTTCAGCCTGCGTGTCTCAGCCTGTTAGCTCCGCTGCACCATCGATCCACGTCGAGTCACACGCCCCCGCCCAGGCTCCTGACATCACCTGACGGGATGAAACATTCCTGTGGCATCAGTCAGAATGAGCCGGTGCTGTACGGAGTCATAAAACCACGATCCTCACGAAGCAGGCGGTCGGGACAGCAGAAGCAGACAACGTTTGTTCATCCACCATCTTTGATGTTTGTGAATAAAATCACTCTTCTGAGATGAGGTCATCCATCGTGTGTGTGACTGAATTATCACCACCACCTTCAAAATATTCTTTGTCAAAATATTCCAGTAAAGCATGAAAGTACTGCTAATTTTTCAAATGTGAGTCAGAAAAGACGACATCTGGTTCATGAAATCTGCTTGAACTGGGAAAGTTTG